TTTTTTGTATTATTTAGGGAATAAAGACAACAAAGTCTGGGCATGGTGGCACACTCCTGTAATTCCAGCACTCGGGAGACTGAGCCAGGAGGATTGTTGCGAGTTCGAGGCCAGCCTGGGCTACAAAGTGAGCTCAAGGCCAGCCTGAACTGCATAGTGAGACCCTGTCTCAAAAAGACAAAAAAAAGACAAGAAAAAGTCTACCTGCTCAGTACAGATGGAATTGTTTTTTCATGTACTTTCCATCTGAGGTTAGTTGAATCCACAGATGCAGAACCCAGGGATATGGAAGGCCAGCTATCATTGATAATTGAAAAAAAATTAACATAAAGGGAAAAATATTCTTTTCTTTCTCTCTTTCTTTCTTTCTCTTTTTTTTGGTCTTTTTGAGACAGGGTCTTACTATGCAGTTCAGGCTGGCCTTGAACTCACTATGTAGCCCAGGCTGGCCTCGAACTCACAGTGATCTTCCTGCTTCAGCCTCTTGAGTGCTGAGATTACAAGGGTGTGCCACCATGCCCAGCTTAATTTTATTTTATTTTATTTTATTTTTTTAAATTTTATTTTAAAGAGAAAAAAACCCCAGCTAAACACAATAATACAGAATTTGAAAGCACGGTAATAGGAGATTAACAATGGTTGATGTATTACATATTACCTTCAAATTAGTTGCTCAGATTACAAGATATAGGCTTACATAATTTTTTTTTTTTTTCGGTCTTTTTTGAGACAGGGTCTCACTGTGGAGTTCAGACTGGGCTTGAGCTCACTTTGTAGCCCAGGCTGGTCTCGAACTCGCAACGATCCTCCTGCCTCGGCCTTCCAAGTGCTGGGATTATAGGCATGGGCCACCACGCCTGGTGGTATGCATAATTGATCAAACAATATAAGCACAAACCATTTTTTTCAATGAACTAGAAGAAGTCAGTAGTATAACCATCTTATCTATCTTATGTATATATATTTTTTCTTTTCCCCTTTCTTCTTTCACCCATCCCAGTTCGTTCGTTCTTTCTTTTTTTTTTTTTTTTGGTACCGGGAATCGAACTCAGGATCTTGCACTTACCAGGCAGGCATTTGTGCCGCTGAGTATATCCCTGGCCCCCAGTTCTTTTTGAGCAGTTTCTTTCCCTTTCACAATATCTATTGTAGATTTTGAGTCTCATTTACTTTTTCATTTTCTTACACTAGGGAGACAATATGATATTTATACTTGCAAGTCTGATTTATTTCACTTATGAGTATGTTCTCTAATTGCATCTATTTACCTATAAAAGCCTCAAGTTTGTCCTTCTTTATAGCTGAGTAGTACTCCATTATATAAAAATACCACATCTTTTTTATCCATTCCTCAGTTGATGGGCATTTGGGCTGTTTCCAAGATTTAACTGTGACAAATTGTGCTGCTACAAACAGGGGTGCACATATATTGCTGTGGTGTGATGTTTTTAATTCTTCTGGGAAAATACCTAGAAGGGGGGTAGCTGAGTTGAATGAGACCTCTACTCTAGTTTTTTGAGGAATCTCCACACTGATTTCTGCAATGGTTGTACCAGTCTACACTCCCACCAACAGTGGAGAAGGGTTCATTTTTCCCCCACAGCCCTGCCAGCATTTGTTATTGGTTGATTTTTTGATGATAACCATTCTTTCTGGAGTGAGATAGAATCTCAGTGTTGTTTTAATTTGCATTTCTTGAATGACCAGTGATGTTGAATATTTTTTAATATATTTATTTGCTATTTGTATTTCTTCATCTCAGAAGTATGTATTCATCTCGGATGCCCATTTTTGGATTAGGTCTTAGAATTTGAGGGGCCTGATTTTTTCCAATTCTTTATATGTTCTAAATAGAAGCCCTTTGTCTAAGGGTCATTTGCAAAATTTTCTCCCACTCTGTGTGTTTTTTTTTTTTTTCCTGTGGGTTTTCTTTTCACTGTGTTGTTGATTTCTTTTGATGTGCAAAAAACTTTTTAATAAGATGAGATCCCAGTTATTGATTCTTTGAAGTACTTCACATGCAGTTGGGTTTTTGTGGATGAACTCTGCCTACACCTATGTCTTCAAGATTTCTACCTACTTTCTCTTCCAGTAGATAAATACTCTTTCTTGAAAGGAACATTTAGAATAAAGTGCTATGGTAGGAAGGGGATATAAAAAATTAAGATGTACATGTACCAACTCCCCATGCTGAACGTAATCACTTCGTACTGCAAACATGTACTAATAAAAATAAAAAGCATGCTTTAGTAGTTCAGAGTAGGGATGAGTTTCTTCCAGTGGTGGTGAAGGAAGGCTTGCAGAGAGAGAGGGTATGTTTACTTGTTCCCTGACTTCCCTTTATACTACGAGCTGGGACTTCCTGTCTTGCACCCTGTTGTATCTGTAGCTCTTTCTCAGTGTATGACACATTGTAGGCATTTATGTTTTAGAATGGATGAATGGGGGCTGGGGATTTAGCTCAGCGGCAAAGCGCCTGTCTGGCAAGCGCAAGGTCGTGAGTTCAGTTCCCGGTACCGGAGAAAAACCAAAAAAAAAAAAAAAAAAAAAGAATGGATGAATGATTCTTCAACATTTTACTCAAGTATTATCATACCAAGTAAACATCCCATCTCTTAGGTAGAGTTGGGTATTCCCTCCTCTGTGTTTGAAACAGCATGACCTGATGGCTAGGAGTTCAGAACTTAGCAGGACCAGGAGTTGATTCTGGAGTATATTATAAATTGTTTAACCTTGGTTATGCTGTTTGACCTTTCCAGCTGTTCTTTAAAAAAAAAAAAAAAAAGCCTGGGCGTGGTGGCACACGCCTGTAATCCCAGCACTCAGGAGGCTGAGGCAGGGGGATCCTTGTGAGTTTAAGGCCAGCCTGGGCTACAAAGTGAATTTAAGGCTAGCCTGAACTACATAGCGAGACTGTCTCAAAAAGACAGAAAAAAGGACTATAAGGCTCTTGCACTATAATGAAGATTTATTGAATTAAGTGGATAGCTAAAGAAGCACTCAAATAATGGTTGCCTGCTTAAAACTGTTTACATCGACTTTGTTAAATAGCATATTGTTGGCTTATGTAAGCCACTGTGTCCAGTATATAAAATATGCTCAGTGAGACTTTATTGATTGGATAGCCGTGTGGAGGTAGAGAGGAGGACATTCTTGGAAAAAAACAGAAAGAACTCTGCACAGTGCATATTTGGAGGAGGTGAAAGTCAGTTTGATTGGAAGGGAGGAGTTGTGTAACAGAAATAGCATAGCTCCTTTAGCAGAGTGGCATGAGATGAGTTTTTGCCTAGGATGCCAAGGGAAAGTTTTATTACATGGGACTAAAAGTTGTCTTAATAGTCCCAAACCAAGAGGTAGAGAAAAAACATTTTTGAGCACCTACTATAATAGACACTGACAGCATCTTTATTAGTTATATTTCATAATTCTCATAGCCCTTGGTATTATTTTGCAAAATGAAGAAACTGAGGTTAAGGTAAGTTGGGTAAATTTTTTTATGCTCAGTTTATAGAAGGACCTAGCACAAATAGTTGAGTGTGGTGGCCCATGCCTGTAATCCCAGCACTTGGGAAGCTGAGGCAGGAGATCACCAGGAGTTCAAGGCCAGCCTGGGGTATATGGTGAGACCCGGTCTCAAACAAAACAAAAAAAGGACCTAGCACAGTGACTGCTCCATAATGGACACTTTCAACTCAAAATATGTGTTTTCCTTTAGATAAAATTGACATAAAAGTTGGGTTTTTAGACCAATGTTTGCCATGCTATTCCCCCCCCCCACCAGGTGCCATGCTATTCTGTACATGAAATTAGAATCAATATTCATTTATTCATGCAATAAACTTATTTAGCACTGTGTTGGGTGGAACATATACAAATAAAACTTATTCTCCACTGTCAAGGAAATTGAAGTTTTGTAGGAGTAATAGGTAGTGAAACCATTGCAATCCTGGGCAGTATGTACTGTGATCAAGGTATGCCCTTGGGGAGGCTACAAGGAGAGCTTACTTGGGCTAGGCAGTTAAGGAAGCTTCAGAAAGGAGGTAAGTCCTGAGAGCTGAGAAGGAGATACCAAAGAAGAGAGGTGAACGAGGGTTATCTTGGTGCAGGCAACAGAACTACAAAAGATACAGACAACAGGAAGCTCAAGGAGTTCTGGCTAGTGGAGGTGAAGATTGCAAGGGGATTGGTGACCAGATCATGCAGGGCTTTTAGGCCATGCTCAGGAGCTTGGACTTTGCCTGTTTGTTAGTAGAGAACCATTGAAAAGTTTTAGCAAGGGAAGTAACCCTATCATACTCATTTTAGGGGTTAGAGATGTAGCTCCTTAGTAGAGCATTTCCCTAATGTATAAAGTTCTGGGTTCAACCCCCAATACTGGGAGAAAAAAAACAGGATTTACAATCTGGTTGCTGGTGGAGTAAATACATTGGAATGCTTTAAGAGTAAAAGCATAGCTGCGTGTGGTACATACCTGTAATCCCAGCACTTTGGGAGGCTGATGCAGAAGGATCACAAGTTTGAGGCTAGTGTGGGCAACCCAGTGACTTAGCGAGACCCTGCATGGGAATGTAGCTCAGTGCAGAGGCCCTACCTCCAATCCTCACTACCAAACAAGCAAATAAAAGCAGCAAGAGCAGGTGTTTCCATACCTTATATAGAATTAAGGTTTCCATGAGAAAATCCACATAGATTTAAACTTTGTGGTGTCAGAAGTAGATTAGTCCTGTTCTTTGCAGTAGCATAGGACACATTGCCACCTTGTAATGCTTGTCTCTGAGAGAGGAGTGGGAATGAGAACAATTCTAGATTCAAGCTACTGGTAGAGACTGGCTGGGGGAGAGACTGTTCACTTAAGAGATAAGAGGTGCTAGGAAAAGATCCATGGAGGGAGAAGAACGTGAACAGAGATTTTAGGATAAGGATGGTCATGGATGAGTCATGTAAGAAAGAGCAAAGAAAGCGGTTGCTCCAGTGGACTAGAGGATGAAGAACTTTGAGGATCTTCACTTTCTTCAGTTCTGAATGAAGGCACCTCCTGTCTCATTCCTTTAGGCTCTGAGTAATCTTCCTACTCAGCCATTTCTTTTATTCTATTGGCATCAATGATGATTACCTATTTCTTTTTTTTTGAGACAGGGTCTCACTATGCAGTTCAAACTGGCCTTGAGCTCACTTTTGTAGCCCAGGTTGGTCTCGATCTTGTAACGATCCTCCTGCCTCAGCCTTCCAAGTGCTGGGATTACAGGCATGCGCCACCATGCCTGGCTACAATAATTACCTATTTCTGGTGCCTTGTCACTTTTTCCACCTCTTTCTTCCTACTTTAGTGAACTACTGCAAAGTGAAAGGCAGACTTAACCACCTCTCCCTATGCTTTGTTTGTAATGTAAAAGCACCATTCCAGCAATTGGGTTTTTGATGCTAATGTTAGGAATTCAGGATAAAAAGATTCCCTTTCAGTTCTTCTCTTTTTTTACTAAGATCCTCCTGGGAAAGAACACTTCTACATAATAATTGCAAAGCTATTAAAGTTTAGTTCGAATACAAAGCTTGGAAACTTTTTAGGTATTTTGTCACAGAAGAGAGATGGCCACATGACATCCCTCCTTTAACTGCCAGCTGCCCTCTTGTCAGCCTGCTGTCTCACCAAAAATCCCACACTGTGAATTCTACAACAGAGTCGGTAGGGGTGTGCCAGCTGCCGGCTGGCTGAGGGAGAGAGGAGAAGGAGATTTTAAGCTATGGCAGTGAGGAAGAAGGGAAAGGTATAGGAGCACTGGGCTTACTGTATCCACTTCTATTCACGCTGGGTGTGTGGTACGGGGGCTGACATAAGCGGGACTTCCTTTCCAGTTGTGCCGACTGTAGTAGTACTATAGCTTCACCAAAAGAGTTTTCCAGGCCTGATGCTGTGTTACATCACTGACTGGATGGGTCGTCATTTTCTTCTCCATCTCCCGGTCCGTTCCCCTCCCCGACCTCCGCCTCCCCTCCCCCTCCTCTGCCCCTTCTCCTTTCCTCCTCCTCCTTCTTTTTCTTCAGCTGAACTTGCATACACCTAGTAGAATTGCCAGTAGCGAACTATTTGTAATAGGAAATTGAAATACAGAAGATGGCCACCTATAGAAAATTAAGCTTTTGAGTAGTTGAGAATTAGGGTATTTTTCCTACTGGTCTAATACTTGGGGAGAAAATAATTAGATATGCTTAGAAACTTGTAGACAATTGTAAATTTCTGTCTTAAAAGTCCAATTTTTGGAACATTGTAGAAGAACAATTATAATATTCTCTTAGGTTGGGTTAAGTTGTGTGAATTCGACGCAGGTGTTAATAGCAAAGGGGTTTTGGGTTTCTCTTTGTAACTGAGTTTTTCTTCAGTATTGCTCACTTGAAAAATATAGCTTAGAATTCTTAACTGGAATCTTAGAGGAAAGAGCTTGGACATAGTGAACTAACCACAGGTTGGTGTTTGTGTTTAGAGCTGGAAGCCTTGAAGCAGCGTTTCTGGAAGCATGCAAAGCCAGCAGCCAGACCCAGAGCTGGCCAGACAGTGACTGTGAATGTCATAGTGAAAGACTTGGGCACTGATGGAAAGGAAGAGCTAAAGGCGGATGTGGTACCCGTGACTTTGGCAGCTGAGCAGCTGGATGGAGTGAGCCACACAAAACCAGGTATTTGTGATCGTGGCCATGGAGAAGTTACAGAGTCCTTTTCCTTGGAAATTTTGGAAATTAGATAGCAATGTCTCACCGGGCATGGTGGCACATGCCTGTAATCCCAGCACTTGGGAGGCTGAGGCAGGAGTATCCTTTCGAGTTTGAGGCCAACTGGGTTACAAAGTGAGCTCAGGGCCAGCCTGAACTGCATAGGGAGACCCTGTCTCAAAAAAGACAAAAAAAAAAAGCAATGTCTCAGGCATGATTTGCATATGTGAATACAGCATGCCTAGAGTTATGGGGTAGACAAGATGGCTTTATTTTTTAGGTAAGAATTTTGTTATTTTTTTGGTACCAGGAATTGAATTCAGGACCTTGCACTTACCAGGCAGGCACTGTGTAGGCACTGAGCTATATCCCTGGCCCTTTATTTTTTAAAGTAAGTTTTGTCTTATAAAAACAGTAATATCTTGGTGGCACATGCTTATAATCTCGGCACTTTAGTAGGCTGCTTTAAGTGGATCAGAAGTTTGCATCCCACCTGGACAACTTAGTGAGCACCTGTCTCCAAGTAAAAAATAAAAAGGGAGTTGGGCGTGGTGGTACATACCTATAATCCCAGTACTCAGGGGGCTGAGGCAGGAGAATTGCTATGAATTTGAGGTCAGCAAATTCATATGGGCTACATTCAATTTGGGCTACATAGAGAGTTCAAGGCTAATCTGAACTACAAAGCAAGACCCTATCTCAAAGAACTAAAAATTTAAAAATAAAAAAAATTTTAAAATGGTCAGAAAAAGTGGTCAAGGATATAGTTTTAGGCAGAGGCTTGTGTTCAAATGCCAATACCACCAAAAAAAACCAAAAAACAAAACAAAAGAAAAATGGCAATAAATATACACACTAGAAAAATACATAGAAAGAATAAACAAAAAACTATACCAAGGTGCTTCACATACTTTATCTCATTTAATCCATACAACTCCATGAAGTAAATAACATTAGTGTCCTTTTCTTTTTTTTTTTTTGTCTTTTTGAGACAAGGTCTCGCTGTGCAGTTCAGGCTGGCCTTGAGCTCACTTTGTAACCCAGGCTGGTCTCGAACTTACAACGATCCTCCTGCCTCAGCCTCCCGGGTGCTGGGATTACAGGCATGCACCACCACACCCAGCTAGTATCCTTATTTTATACAGAGGATACTGATGTGCAGAGCACTTAAGCTACTTGTTTAGTTTTATGTAACTACTAAGTGGTAGGACCAGCAACCTCATCTAGACCATCCAGTTATGAGGCTCAGGTACACATATACTTTCGGTCTTGTCAGGCAGGGGCTTGTGCCGCTGAGCTATATCCTCGACCCTCTGTCTTTTTCTTTAAACAGGGTCTCTCTAAGTTTTCCAAGCTTGCCTTGAATTTGCAATCCTGCCTCAGCCTCCCATGTAGCTAGGTTTACAGGCATACACCACTGTGTCTGACCTTTCACCCTTAAACAATTGTTTTATAATCTTTGAGTGTAGAAGTTTTCTTTCTTTCTTTCTTTTTTTTTTGGTTTTGGTTTTGGTTTTTTTCTGGTCCTAGGAATAGAACTCACAACCTTGCGCTTGCCAGGCAGGTGCTGTGCCGCTGAGCTAAATCTCCAGCCCCTAGAAGTTTTCTTTTACACTTTAATTCATAATAATACCTATGTGTTAAAATAATAAAAGCCTCGAGTACTAAGGTGTTTGATTTTTCTTTTAGGATGTGACTAGAATACTTACGCAGTTGCCTGAAATGCCCACTTAATTATTGTGTTATGTAGTCAGGCATAATGTCTAAAGCATTTCCACATATTTCTTTTAGGTGAAAAACTGCAGGTATTAAAAGCTAAACTGCAAGAAGCAATGAAACTCCGAAGATTTGAGGAGCGTCAGAGGCGCCAGGCATTATTCAAATTAGATAATGAAGATGGATTTGAAGAAGAGGAGGAGGAAGAGGAAGAAATGACAGAGGAATCTGAGGAAGATGGGGAAGAGGAGGTGGAGGATGAAGAGGAAGAGGAAGTGGAGAAGGAAGAAGAGGAGCTAGAGGAAGGAGAGGAGGAAGGCAATCAGGAGGTTTCTGGCAACTTATATAATTTGTTTACAAAGTCATGAATAAGAGGAAGAAAATCAGATTTATTTCTTTTTTTTTTTTTTTTTTTTTTTTTGTCTTTTTGTCTGTTTGAGGCAGGGTCTTGCTATGCAGTTCAGGCTGTTTAGCCACCATGCCCGGTTTAGAAAATCAGATTTAAAGAAGAGTATAGTGAGCGTGTTCACTTATGAGAGATTCACAGGGCATAGATGGAAGTGCTTTCCGCATATGTGCCTAAGTCTTGATGGATTGAGTTCTGTCAGCACCGTTAGACACTTGGAGTTGACAGACTGTATCCTTCTACCTGTTAGTTTGTGTTTTAATATAATACTCATATAGAAAATGGCTTTGTATTAATAAGGGACTTTACTTTTTTTATTTATTTTTTCTTTATTCAAATTGAAGAAACAAACTTAACCTTGGCCAGGTTGAAGTCTACAACAAATTCTCAGATGATAAGGCCAGGTGTGGTGGCGCACTCCTGTAATCCCAGCACCCGGGAGGCTGAGGCAGGAGGATCTTTGTGAGTTCGAGACCAGTGTGGGCTACAAAGTGAGCTCAAGGCCAGCCTGAACTGCGTAGCGAGACCCTGTTTCAAAAAGACCAAAGCAAAAAAACCCCCACAAATTCTCAGCTGAGCAGAGGCCTTCTGAAATTACTGTCATCCTTTGTTAAGGAAGGTATTTGTAGAAGGGCCTTTTGCCTTTGCTCCATGGTATTGTTTTGTGCTCGGGTAAGACAGGCAATTATATGACTGTTAAGTATGGAAAAACTTTCTTGTCTTGTATCTGGGGTTACTTGTAAGAGTTGGTTAATATTTAATGCTGGGTAGAAGAAGAAGAAAGCAATGGTTGAGCTAGGCAGCATGTTATATATAGTCTGGTTGGTTTGAGATCAGTAGTCATCCTGCAGTCATTAAGCCTCCTCTTCCCTCAGCAAACTGATAATCCAGTCTTGCTTTACAATCATAGCAATATTGAGAGGGGAAAAGGTGAAGCAGGTCTAAAAGAGCTCTAAACATGTCAGCGAAAATTATGATGAGTATGGTCATGCTGAGCTAACTTCAAATTTAGCTTTTTAGTTTAGATTTAAGATATGACCACTGGGTGTGGTGGCACATGCCTATAATCCCAGCACTTGCGAGGCTGAGGCAGGAGGCTCACTGAGTTTGAGGCCAGCCTGAACTACATAGTGCAACCCAGTCTCAAAAAGACTTAAAAAAAAGGAGACTTAAGATAGGTCAAGCAGCCATATTTTAGGCCAACAGTGGAATTGCTTTTAAATGTATTGACTTGCATTATTTTGTTTTTGGATGGTGTGATTGGTAAAGACTGCAGAATTCCTTCTTGGTAATGAAGATATCGAAAGCAAAGATGAGAAAGAAATGGATAAAGACAATACAGATGGCAGTAGTGAAATTGGCAAGTCAGTTGACCTTCTCTCTGTACCCAAGCCTCTCTCATCAGATTCTACCTTACTTCTATTTAAGGACAACTCTTCCAAGATGGGGTAATTCTCTAAGGAAATATAAATTTCTGTGGGATTTGTCTCTGGTGAAAAGTAGGAAGAGATACTTAAACATTTTACTTTCTTGTTTTATAGTTACTTTATTACCGAAGAAAAATCTGAAACAGATGAAAACTCTGGCAAACGGCCTAGCAAGCTGGGTGAGTAGTGATTCTTATATAGATGTAACTATTTTTTTTTATTTTTTTGTCTTTTTGAGACAGGGTCTCGATATGCAGCTCAGGCTGGCCTTGAGCTCACTTTGTAGCCCAGGCTGGTCTCGAACTCGCAACGATCCTCCTGCCTCAGCCTCCTGAGTGCTGGGATTACAGGCGTGCACGCTATAGATGTAATTATTCTTTGGTCCTCCAGCTTTGATGCTTAAGGCCTACAGTTTCATAAAGATTCCATTGTTTTAATCCAGTGACTTTCCCATCTTATATGTAACAATGGGAGGGGTCATGAATTCAACTATTTCTTGATCCGTTTTTTTAAAACTCACATCCATTTTCTTTATAGTGGACCATGAACATATATAATAGGTCCTTACGGAGTATGAGTAAGTGAAACATGAAATATGTCTATTAGATGAAAGGAAGGTGTGTAACTGATTGGATAGTGTAGAGTGATCATAAGCATTAGGCGGGATGAGAAAAGAGGGAATTTTAACTCTTAAGGTGTCACTTCACTCAGTAATATAATGCCATGGTGGTCCTGTAATTTACCTTTAACTTAATGATTTGGAATCTGTAAGCTGAGATGTTTGCTTGTGAATTTTACCCGAGTATCATCCTCAGCTTTTTTTTTCCGTCACAGATCCACCTAATTTCTGTAACCATGCGCTTAAAAGGTGGTTCTCTTTCTTCAGATGAAGAAGATTCATGTTCATTGCTAACAAAAGAGAGCAGCCACAATAGCAGCTTTGAGCTGATTGGCTCCACAATTCCATCCTATCAGCCTTGCAACAGACAGACAGGCCGGGGGACCAGTATTTTCCCTACAGCTGGAGGATTCAGATCTCCTTCTCCTGGGCTATTTCGAGCTAGTTTGGTCAGCTCAGCTTCTAAGGTAAGGTGATAATAGTTTTTCTAATCTCCTCCTCCTCCCTTTGCTTCCCACATTGCTAAATAAAGTGTGTTCCAGCCAACTAACTCCCACCACGTTGGTACTGAGCTTATGTGTGTTCTGCTTTAAAAATCCACCCACTGAGCCAGTTGTGGTGGTGTACACCTGTAATCCCAGCACTCGGGAGGCTGAGGCAGGAGGATTGTAGTAAGTTCAAGGACATCCTGCACTACAAAGCAAGACCCTATCTCAATATAACAAAACAAAACAAAACAGAAAAATTACCCCCTTTGTGTATTAAAGAAAAGCTTTACCAACATTCTTACTTTTTTGGAGGTATTTTTCTGTAAGCTTCTCTTAGCTATGCATTGTCCTCAACTGCAATTCCCTGAGTAGATAAAATACTGCAGATAGCAACTTCTGTTGTTGTCGTGACACAATGGATTTGTAAAATGTTTTGTTATTGTTTGTTTTTGTTCTGGTGGCAGAGTTCAGGGAAGCTGTCTGAGCCTTCACTTCCTATAGAGGATTCCCAGGATCTGTATAACGCCTCCCCAGAGCCCAAGACACTTTTCCTAGGAGCAGGAGATGACTTCCAGTTCTGCTTAGAAGATGACACTCAAAGCCAACTGTTGGATGCAGATGGGTAGGTAGTTTTGTGTTTCTGTGGGTGGGATGGCGCTGGGTACTGCTTAATTTTGTTTAAAAATAAAGTGAGCTTCTGTCACTCCATCTGTGCTTTCTCTTCTGAGAAAGAGAAGGTGTACAGACCATTATTAGTATTATATTCTGTGAGTCTGAACAAAGTCTTTCCAGAAAATAAAATTTAAATATCTCCTGCTGACTGCCATTCTGATCTTTTGATCTCTTATTTGTAATATATAGATTTTGTAAGGTCATGAAATTTTCCTGTGGTTTCTACTCTGCTAGGATTGATAGATAAGATTGAGAAATCACAGGCCAGGGGCTGGGGATTTAGCTCAGCAGCAAAAGCACCTGCCTGGCAAGTGCAAGGTCGTGAGTTCGGTTCCCGGTACCGGAGAAAAACCAAAAAACAAAACAAACAAAAAAAAAAGAAATCACAGGCCAGTGGTGCAAGATGGTATATAGTTCAACTGTAGTATCCTCTGAAACCAAAAATTATCTTTTACACTTTGCCGTTGAATGGTGTTTTATTTTATTTATTTTTGGGGGGTGTTTTTTGAGACAGGGTCTCTCTATGTAGTACAGGCTGCCCTTGAACTTGGCAGTGATCCTCTTGCCTCAGCCTCCCAAGTGCAGAGATTATAGGCATGTGCTACCATGCCCAACAATATTTTATTCTTTAATAGAACTTCCTGTGCTCTTTTTAGATTAGCAGGAAGCTAAAGTTTGAATATTGGTTTTCTGGTTTAAGATTCAACTTCTAACTTTAGCATTAGAAATGAACGCAGAGTTTTTCATTCACTATTTTACCTCTTTTCCAACAAATCCCATACATTGGTCATTGTGCTTGCAGGTTCTTAAATGTTAGAAACCACAGAAATCAGCGCCAAGCTTTGAAACCTCAGCTGCCTCTGGCCAGTATGGACGAGAACGCCATGGATGCCAACATGGACGAGCTTTTGGATTTGTGTACTGGAAAGTTTACGTCTCAGGCTGAAAAATGTCTGCCCAGGAAGAATGACAAGAAAGAGAACATGGAGGAACTTTTGAATCTTTGCTCAGGAAAATTCCCTTCTCAGGGTAAGTGTCCTACAGAGAACGCCATTCTACCAAGGACAAGTGGCTCTTTTCAAGTCAATGTCCTTGTCAAGAATCCCCTTTACCTTCAGACAAAAGCAGGAATGTGATGCATTTTATTATATTTTGTTTTGCTTTGTTTGTTTTTGTGGAACTAGGGATTGAACCCGGGGCCTTGGCACTAAGCTATATCCCCATTCCTTTTCTAAGTTTTGAGACAAAGCCTTGCTAAGATGCTAAATTGCCCAGGCTTGGCTCTAATTTGCAAACCTCTTGCTTTAGCCTCCCTGAGTGCTAGGGCTATAGGTGTGCACCACCATGCCCAGCTCTCTAGCATCTTTTCCTGTTGCTTGAATTCACTACATAACTCGTAACATTTAGAGCTTTACTTCCTTACAATGATTAAGTGTCAACCTAAGTCTTCCGTAGCTTTGGGCATATGATGTCATTTATAATTAATCTATATATAAAATTTAGAGCTGTGTCTTGTATATAGTAAGTTTCCTATAAGTTAATTTATTTTTCCACCTGTGCCCCTCCCCGCTAAACACACATACAACACCTGCTAGAAAGTAAGCTCTGTGAGAGAGTTGGGGTCTTTATTTTGTTCACTTTACCTCCCTGATGGTCAGCACATAGTAACAAATAAGGATTTGTTGAGTGAATGGATGGTGTAGTTTTTGGCAGGCTTACCTTAGAACATTAATGAGCTGGCTTGTCTTTAGATGGTTGGGAAGAGAGGGTAAAGTTGTCGTCCCTTGGTGACAAGTCTTTTCCTCACAGATGCCTCCCTTCTGGCTCCCTTGGAGTTGAGCAAGCAGGAGAAGGAGAACAGCATGTGTGACCCCATGGAAGAAGCACTTGCTCTTTGCTCAGGCTCTTTCCCAACAGACCGGTGAGTCTCACATTGGTAGGAACCGAGGAGACCTGTCCTTCGGTAAAACCCTAGGATCAAAAAGAAGAAGAAACTCCTAGGATTAGGTTTTCTGTGTTTAATAATAACTGATCATCTTACAGGTTTAATGTCCTCTCAGAGAGTCTTACCGTGGATTTAAATCTCATATTTGAATAGTAATGAAATTATAACACTTAGGTGAAGAGTAAGGTTTAAAAAAAAAAGCTGAGAATAAGTACCTGAAAGATCTTTACATCACTAATTATAGGCTAATCACTAACTGATAAAATAAAAATGAGGTACTGCTTCACCCTGATTAGGACAACTATGGTAAAATAGTAATAGTAATAATAATGGCCAGAGAGGATGTGGAGAAATTGGAACCCTTATGAACTGGTGGTGAGAATGTAAATGGTGCAGGTGATACAGAAAATGGTATGATTCCTCAGAAATTAAAAATGGAATTACCACCTGATGTTGCTTAGTAGAGACTCAAAACAAGTGAAAGCAAGGACTCAAATAGGTATTTGTGTACCCATATTCACATTCTTTTTTTTTTTTTTTCCAGTACCAGGAATCAAACTCACAACCTCACGTTTGCCAGGCAGGTGCTGTGCTGCTGAGCTAAATCCCTAGCCCCTCCCCCATATTCACATTCAAAGCAGCATTATTCACAATACCCAGAGTGTAGAAGCAGTTCAAGGATCTGTTGACGCATTAATTAATCTTTATAAGTATGTATATGTACATATAATGACATGGCCAGCCTAATAAGGAAAGGAAATTCTAGCACATGCCTCAACATGGATGAACCTTCAGGATGTTATGCTGAGAGCAATAAGCTAATGACAGAAAGACAAATACTATTATCACTCTACTTATATAAGGCACTTAGAGTACTCAGATTCATTGAGAAGGAATGGTGGTTGCCAGTCTGGAGGTGGGAAAGAATAGAAATTTGTTTGGGTATAAGAGTTTGAATTTTACACAATGGAAAGAGTTTTGGTTATTTCTTCTCCAACAATGTGAATATACTTAAGCTTGCTGAACTGTTTACTTTAAAAATGGCTAAGTTTAACGTTACATGCATTTTACTGTAATTAAAACTTTTATTTTTTCCTGTACAAAGTGATCCCTCACCTATCGCGGGAGTTACATTCCAGAGACCCCTGCAATAGGTGAAAATCCATGAAATAGCAGTGTTATATTTATTTTAGTATTTATATATATTTTAAAGCTTTATAAACCCTTCCCACACTCCTATAAACCTTTCCCACTCTCTTATTAACCTTTCCCACACTCTTATAAACACTTCATATGAGGCCGGGTGTGGTGGTACACACCTGTAATCCCAGCACTTGGGAGGCTGAGGCAGGAGGATCGTTGTGAGTTCCAGACCAGCCTGGGGGATAAAGTGAGCTCAAGGACAGCCTGAGCTGTATATTGAGACCCTGTCTCAAAAAGACAAAAACAAACAGACAAAAAAAAACACTTTATATGCTCTTAAACACTTTCCACACTCTTAAACCTACATAATTTTAACATGTAAAATTCTATATAGGTACCTATATACTGCAAAATCCAGTGATACAGTGAAAACTCCGCGACTCAGAATTAGATATATTTTTTTTAAAAACCTGTGATAGAGTGAAGCTGCAATAAGTGAACCGCAATATAACGAGGGACAACTTACTAGGCATTGAACTCGACCTTTACACTGAGCTATGTCCTCAGCCCTTTTTTTTAATTACTATTTTGAGACAAGGTCTTGCTAAGTTACTCAGGGTGGTCTTAAACTTAGGATCCTCCTGCCTTGGCCTCCTGGAGTTCTGGGATTATAGGCATGCCATCATGCCTATCTAAAACAATTTTTAAAAAGACAAAGCAGCTGGATATGGTGGCACATGCCTATAATCTCAGCTCTCTGGGAGGCTGAGTCAGGAGAATATTAAATTTGAGCCTAGCTTAGGCAACTTAGTGAGACCCTATCTCAAAATAAGAAAAATAAAAAGGGCTGGGGATGTAGCTCAGTGTAAAGGTTCTGGATTTAATTCTCAGTAACCCTGACCCCCACCCCAGGCAAAATATCTCCTATTTTTTGAATAGGTTATTGGTGTTAATAAAATACTCTAAATCCTCAATTTAGGTGGGTGCTTGTGGTTTGTTTTCAACAACTTATTTATTGATTCATTGATTTACATTGTAGGGAAGAAGAAGATGAAGAGGGGGAATTTGGAGATTTTCGGCTCGTGCCACATAACAGGGAATTTGACAGTGATGAGGTGAGTATGATAGAAATATAGGCTGGGCGTGGTGGCACACACTTATAATCCCAGCACTCGGGAGGCTGAGGCAGGAGTATCATTGTGAGTTTGAGACCAGCTTGGGCTACAAAGTGAGCTCAAGGCCATCCTGAACTTCAGAGCAAGACCCTGTCTCAAAAAGATAAAAAAAGAATAATAAAATACATAAATAAATAAAAGAAATATAACTCCATGTATTGCTGCCTGTAGGCTTATTTTCTTGTTTGAGTTCTTGAGATTTCTAAGATTGGCATCTTATCCAAAACAATATCCTCTGTCAGGTGTGGTGGCGCACACCTGTAGCCCTGGCAATTGGGAAGCTCAGGCAGGATTGCTGCAAGTTCGAGGCCAGCCACTACATAGTGAGACCCTGTTTCAGAAAACTAAAAAAAAAAGGCTATAAAGAGACATGTGGGCAGAAGAGGTTTATAAATCTTTTCTTGGGGGTGGTTCCCTGTGGATCAAACCCAGGGCCTCATGCATATGAGGCAAACGCTGTACCAGTGGCCTATATACTCAGCCCCTAGCTTTTTGTTTTGTTTTTTTTTTTAAACAGAGAAGGTGTGGGAATATTAGGCTCCTGAGTCCTATTTTGCTTGAAGACATACTTTAATCTCCTTGACTTTGATCCTGTCATTTTGGCAGGATGAACACAGTGACTCTGAGAATGAAAATACGGCATTGGACAACCAGGAAGATGAGGATGAAGAAGAACTGCTAAAGCAGTCTGAAAAGCTGAAAAGACAAATGTAGGTTTTTTTCCATTCCTTTAACTGCTGGAAATTTCCCCTGACTCTTGAGTTACACCTTAGCCACTCTTTATCTAAATTTTCTGGTTCTATTTCTGTGTTTTGTGGTTAACGTAGATTAAACAAAATCCTTGTTGTGCATGAGATCGCTTCAGTATTCAAATATGGTGGTCGGGATTCCTTAGGTAATATCTCTACCAAGCCTCTCTACGTTTCTACTTCCTTCCATAACTAGTAACATTGCCTGTGGTCTTCACAGGTCCTGGGTATTCTCTTTACTTTGAGATGTAGTCTGGCTGTTGAATGTGCTGGATGCATACTACTTATAATGTAGCCGAAGATCAGAAGAGCTAACTTATAGTTGTAGAGCCTGGAAACTAAAATTAGTAGAGAACTAAAATTTCCTGGAACTTTTTCTTCCTATGAACTACTCTTGTTCTGTGTTTTACTCATTCTAGTCACCAACACATTACCCACTTAACATTTTTAATATTGATTGTTCTGATCATGAAAATAAGACATTTATTTCAAATATTAAAAAGAATACAGGGCCGGGAAGATGGCTCAGTGGCACAGCACCTGCCTGGAAAGCACAAAGTCCTGAGTTCGATTCCTGGTACCTACCCCCCAAAAAAAAGAATGCAGAGAGATTATAGGTGTAATTCAGTGAGAGCACATGCATGCCTAGTGTTTGTGAGCGAGGCCCTGGATTCCATATTCAGTGCTGCAGAAAATAAATAAAATGAAGAATGCAGAAATATATAAATAAAAAGTCTCATGTCCACTGTCCACAGTGTATGTGACAGTGTCAATGTGATTATTTTTTCACATATCTATGCATGTATTTTTATATAGTTGAGATTTATTTTATTTTTTATATGTATAAATTTGCATCTTGCCTTTTCCCTTAGCATATCTATAAATATTTTCCTATGATGTTAAAGCAGTTTCACAAACATAATTCTTTTATTTTTCTTTGGAACTGGGAAATGAACTCAGGACCTGTGCTTACCAGGCAGGTGCTGTGCCACTGAGCTATGTCCCTGGCCCCCACAAACAATTCTAATAGGTATTCAATGTTACATTGTATGTGAGTGACTTTTGGAATTCACATATAGGGCAGCGTATTGATCCCTATTAGATTCGTCTTGTTGCTTTGAGCCCAGCATTACATTCTATTAGGATCCTTTCGGGGTTCTAATTTGTCACCTGTCAAATTAACTGTCATACAGCTTTAGGATATCCATAGATTTTTCTAAAGCGGTGGTTCTTAATGTCATTTAACTGATCTCTTTGTTCCAATGAAAGTCATTAAGAATGACAGTTAAAAGTTGAAGTGCTCAAAAAGGATGGCAAGAAGGTTGAGAAACTTAGTGACAGGTAGCCCCTGAAAGAATTCCCTAAGAGCCCTAGGATATAGAGGAACACAGCTTTAAAAACAGACAGTATAGATGACAGGAAGTAGGGAGGTCGATATTTTGGCTAAAGGGATAGAGGAATAAAAGGGGAAAGGACGGGGAAGTAAAAAAGATTAAGATGTCGTATCTATAGGTATAAACTACCAATGGAGAATGTATTTATTATGTATCGCAAACATGTACTAATAAAAAACATACAGTATAAGTATGAAAATCAGCCTTCAGAAAGAACCAAATTGGTGCTTTTCATCTTCATAGATGACAGGACTTTAAATTCAGGTGATAGCAGACTTTTTCTCAAAAAGGACTGAAATTAGAAGAAGTAACTAGGAGCGGTTTTGATTACCAGGAGCTCTGAGCCTTAGTCTTGCCTCTAATTTGCGGGTCAAGATGCAGAGAGCGGTAAGACAATCCCTAAACTGCTGCTGTAAGAAGTCTCTGTCCATACTATCTCTTAAAAGCTGCTGTGCTTAGTTTGAGCCCTCCAGCAGGTATTCCCAAATACAGGGGAAAGATTAAGAGTTTTCTGGTTTTAGGGTTACCTAGCATAGATTTAATCGAGGCTCTGCTACATCCTAGCTGTGTGTGACTTTGAATAAATTATTTAATTTCACTGTTCCTCCTTAAGTGATTTCTATGCCAGTATCTCTCACTCCTTGCAGAATTAGTGTCATTTCTAGTGTCATTGCTTCCAATCTCATGTTCTTGCTTTTTTTTCCCCTTGAACTTGGTGACAGTCGTTCTTCAACCTCCCAAGTGCTGAGATTATAGCTGTGAGCCACCATGCCTGGCCTTGCTCTGGTTATTTCTTTGTCAGTCATTTATTTGTTTGTTTATTTGGTTCTGGGAATCGAACTCAGGACCTTGTGCTAGCCAGCAGGCTCTGTACCACTGAGCTATATCCCTAACCCCTCTTTATCAATTTTAAAATGAAGGAAATGGCAGTACCCACCCTTAAAGATAATGTAGTAATGCCTATAAAGCAGAGTTATTGGCTCATGGTATATAGTAAGTGATCAATGTTTAAATATTATCTTAAAATTAGATATTATCAAAATGTGTTATAAATTTAATGATATTATTGTTGTCATAGTGACTATATGAGCTGTTTTCACTGTGTCTGTGTTCAGTGTATGCATCACTGTTCTACCTTCTGACCCTCAACACTGCTTTCCAGGAGATTGAAGAAATATCTGGAGGATGAAGCAGAAGTGTCAGGAAGTGACGTGGGGAGCGGAGACGAGTATGATGGAGAAGAGATTGATGAATATGAAGAGGATGTAATTGATGAAGTTCTTCCTTCTGATGAGGAACTGCAGAGTCAAATCAAGAAAATACACATGTTAGTGTCCCAAGAAGCCCATCTGAATAACAGGGTACTTCGTAAGGCACAGCCTGTAACCAATCAGAATGGTCCTGGTACTGACTGCCTCATTTCTCTTGTGTAGGAAGACGATGTTGGATGATGATAAGCGACAGCTACGCCTCTACCAAGAGAGGTACCTTGCTGATGGGGACCTGCACAGTGATGGACCTGGGCGAATGAGGAAATTCCGATGGAAAAACATAGGTATCTTAGTTGCTGCCTTCAGAAGTAATATTCCAGTAATGTGTTTGTCCAGTTTAAGATGTCAAATGGCAGGGGCTGGCAGTTCTTACTTTGTGTGCACAAGGATCTGGGTTCAATCCCCAGTATCCACCAAAAATAAAGAAATTTTAAAACAGATGGCAAATGGCAGTCAAAATTATAATAGGCTGGGTGAAGGACCTTGCTGTAACCATTGCTTCCCATTAATGGATGGGAAAGCTCTATGTCAGTGTGTACTAAATAAGGGTTTGCTTCGTGTCTGTCCAGTCACCTTCTCCTATGGGGGCTGCAGGATACTGAAAGCCTTAATTCTGCTTTAGATGATGCTTCCCAGATGGACTTATTCCACCGAGACTCTGATGATGATCAGATTGAAGAACAGCTTGATGAGACAGAAGCCAGATGGAGGAAGGAGCGAATTGAACGGGAGCAGTGGCTTCGGGACCAGGTAGAAAGTCTGCAAGAAGGCTGGGCGTAGTGGTGCACACCTATAATCCCAGAATTTGGGAGGCTGAGGCAGGAGGATTGCTGTGAGTTTGAGGCCAGTCTGGGCTACATAGTGAGTTCGAGGCCAGTCTGGGCTACATAGCGAGTTCAAGGCCAGCCTGGGCTACATAGTGAGTTCAAGGCCAGCCTGCACTGCATAGTGAGAACCTGTCTCAAAAAAAAAAAAAAAAAAAAAATTCTGCCAGACAATTGCCTATTCTGACCCCATGTTATGAGGATGAGAAGATCTAGTCATTGAGTTTGTCATGATAGTTTCAAAATCCTAGGCAACGTATTGCTAACCCTCTTATTCCTTGAATTTGCTTTTTTGCATTGGAAGTTTATCGAGGGCAATTCTTTTCATGTTTGTTCAAGGTCTTTATTTTTTGAAGGTACTGGAGATTGAACCCAGGACCTTGTGAACTGTAGGAAAGCACTGTACGACTTAGCTACTTCCCTAGCCCCTTTTAATTTTTTAATTCTGAGACAGTCTCACTAACTACCTCCCAGGTCACTGGGATTACAGATATGCACCTCTGTGCCTGGCTTCGTCTTTTAGGTGAGGGCCATTGCAAAAATGAACACAATATCCCAGTAACCTAGCTTCACAACCCAAGCTGTGCCACTATTTAAGGAAGCTGTAGGCTTTTCTGTTCATGCTGTATGATTTTTATTTTCAGGCACAGCAGGGGAAGAGTACAGCTGAAGAAGAAGAAGAAGAAATTGGGGAGGACAGTCAGTTTATGATGCTAGCCAAGAAAGTTACAGCCAAAGCACTGCAGAAGAGTGGTGAGCTCTTGTTTCTCCTCAGGATATATATCTCCTCCCCTTGGATTGTTAGTGTTAGGGCTTTGGAGATGATTCTAACCTTCGGGGGCTGTTGAAGCTTAGTTACAAGGTTGTGTCTAATACTGTTTTAAAGGGGGTCCACAGAGGTGAGGACAGATAGTATACTTCGGTCTTAGACTACTGGTTAGTAGAAGTACTTGGGAATTTCTGTAGCTGATTTTGGCTTATGTTTGGAGGCTCTCTGGATTCTTTGTTAAATGGCCTAGGATGATATATCTAACTGTATTTGAAACCAGGTATACTTAGCTCCAGAAGTGAAACACTTTTTTTTTTTTGTCTGTTTGAAGCAACGTTTCATTATGTGGTTCAGGCTGGCCTTGAACTCACTTTGTAGACCAGACTGGCCTCAAATTCACAGTGATCCTCCTGCCTCAGTCTCCCAAGTGCTGGGATTACAGGCATGTGCCACCACGCCTGGCAGAAATGAAACTCTTAAATACTACTCTATATTCTTACCAAGTTTTATTTTTTTCTTAAATCATTCCTATTAATGGTTAATTGATAAGTTCAACTTAGTTTTGTCTTTTTTAAGACGCTGTAGTTTCAAAGACACCATTAAAAATTACATAGAGTTCCTATGGCTTATTGAGTTAGTTTCAAAGCTTCTTAGTGTTTTCAGATTTAAAAGTAATTCTGCCCAGCTTTGCTGTCTTTTTTCCAGCCAACCGCCCTGTGGTTATCCAGGAATCAAAGTCTCTACTCAGTAACCCTTTTGAAGCTATCAGATCTGCAACTCCTCACCAGGTTGGTTGGGACCTTGGAAGTCTGGCACCATAGTCTGCAAGGGTTTGTTTTTTTTGGAGGGAGGGCAGGTGTTTGTTTTTGTGGTTCCTGGGATTAAATCTAGGGCCTTTGCATTGAGCTACATCCCCAGCCCTTTTTACTTTTTATTTTGAGACTGGGTCTCACTAAAGCCCAGGCTGGGCTCAAACTCAGGGTACTCAGTCGTGCTGCCATGCATGGGTCCAGCCCGCAGGTTACAAAGCAGGGAGTAGACTGTTCTTGTGGGAGGGAGGTAGCCACAGGAAATGGGACTAGAAATCAAAAGAGCCTGCCGTTTCTTTTCTACTTGTCAGAATAAGAATGTCTCCTCAACACCTGGGGGAGGAAAGGAGAGACTGCTTTTTCATTCTTTGATTTGATAGCACATAATTCTTTCCCTTTAGCTGAAGACAGGCTCACTGCTAAACCAGCCCAAAGCTGTGCTTCAGAAACTGGCTGGCCTGTCCGACCTCAACCCTAGTGGTCCCCGAAATTCAAGAAACTTTGTCTTTCATACACTTTCTCCTGTCAAGGCTGAGGCAGCAAAAGAATCATCTAAGCCTCAGGTATGTATGCATATTGAGAACTGATGTAGTACTTCCCAAAGCAGATTTCTTTTCTTTTTTGTCTTTTTGAGACAGGGTCTCACTACGCAGTTCAGGCTGGCCTTGAGCTTACTTTGTAGCCCAGGCTGATCTTGAACTTGCAAGAATCCTCCTGCCTCAGCCTCCTGAGTGCTGGGATTACAGGTGTGTGCCACTGTGCCCAGCCCAAAGCAGAGTTTTATTTATTTTAATTAAAAAATAACAGATCTGGTCTAATAGCTTATACTACAGTATTAGAGTCCTCCCCATTAATATACAGGGGACTTACTTTCCTCCGTAGATAATAAACTTTTAAACCTGCCTGGAAAATTTATATTTCTGTGTTGTTACTATTGTTATTTTCCTGTTGTCCGTGATTGAACTCTGGGTTGCTTAAGAGCTAACTGAAGGTAAGTACCTTTGTGAGGGTCTTGTGCTAGCTCTGACTCACTTTCTGCTCTCCAGGTGAGGAGAAAGGGACCATCATTAAAGACATCCCCTTCCCCTAAGCGCCTCAAGACAGGTGATAGCAGTCCAGGATTGAAGCGAAGTATCTTTAGATACTTGGAAAGTTGACACCATCAAGGATGCCAGCACCTGTGCCGAGACTACTTAGTACCTCAGTACTAGAAACTGGCCCTGAAGGTTGGAACTGATGCTCATGCTGATGATCTCTTCTTCCTTCATAATCAGTGGTGCATTAAGATTGCAAACAGGATTCCAGTTCTTTCTATTGCTGGACTGTGGCTATCTTCCTTTCCTAGTATTTCCTGGATTGGTCACTAATCGTAATTCTGCAGTGTTTCCGACATCGATTTATGCAATGCTTAAGTGAATCCTCATGTACTCCTTTAAACATTTGACATTTTATCCGAGCACTCTGCTGGGTTTACACCTGTTTGTGATAAAGGTGGTTGGGAAAGGAGAAAGCAGAGGAGGAAGGAAGAAAGTGTGGCATTACGGAAAGTGGTAAAAGTCAGTATCAGAATGACTCCTTCAGACTTGTGAGATTTCTACCATAGTAACTATAGGAGACTTCCTAGATGATGGACCTAGGGATTAGCAGATGGCTGTTGTGTTAGTCTTACCCTTTCATTTTTCTGTAGGCTTCTTCTCAAGGTAGCCTCAAAGTTCTGATTAGCTTTTGCTGCCTTTGTAATAAGGCCTTAAACTGGTACCCAGTTCAGAAGGACCTTGGCCCTACTTTTCTGAAGTGTGGGGTGAAGATAAAGGGCTACTCCTGTGTCTGGCTGCATTAGATAGTCTCTGGAGCAGAGAGACCTTTCCTGGGGCTGAACTGTCAGTCTGAAACATGGTTGCCCAAGGACTTCCCTTCTTGAAACGTAAGCATTATTTATTGCATCTCCTGGGTTTAATACACTGCCCTGACCAGAGGACATTTTAATATTTCATTACTAATTGAGAGTTGCAGTCACTCGCCACTCTTGTTGAACTACCACAAGGCTCAGACTCTCCAGTCCGCCTCAAAACTGAACATCCTTGTTGCTTTGGAAAAGATTCCATGTGACTATACTTAAGCATCAGGAGCTAGATAGACTTGGGAAGTTGAATGAGATCGTGTCCATTTTTTATTAAGAGACAGGGAACGCCAATTGAAATGAGGGTGAAATGAGGGTGCAGGTTTTCTACAGTTTTTTCTAACACTCAAGATGCTGACTTTGACAACTCATGTTTGTAAATTTGTAATCTTGTAATGGGAAAAATGTGTATAAATTTGTTTTAATATTATGTTGTTTTTCAATAAACCTCAATGGCTTAAAGGCAGAATTTGCTGTCCAGTTTGAATACTCACTGTTAGGTCTGTGTCTGTCTGATGTTATGCATTTCAATTTCAAGGTGTCACCCTTCCAGGAAAGCTGCCTGCGTCTGGATGAGAGGGTGCTGCAGTTGTCTCCTTTCTGGCTTCTCCGTCCCTGTGAATTGATTAAACTCACCTAATGGTCTAGGCTCAGTGCACGGAACAAGGAGAGTTTAATAAAATGCTACTTGTTTCAGCCCTTTTTTTTGGTACCAAGAATCGAACTCAGGACCTTACACTTGCCAGGCAGGCACTTATACTGCTGAGCTATATCCCCGGCCCTGTTTCATCCCCTTGTGTAGCGTTTTCTCTTTAGCTGGCTTTGCATATGTTGATAGCTGTGGGTCCAAGATAAAGACTACTGCGTTTCCCTTTGAACTCTCTAAATAGTGCCCAAGGCCCAGCAGGCCTTGCTGGGCTAGAGAGCTGGGATAAAGGGCTGGAAATTTCTCCTCCTTTGCTTTTCTACATGCCTCCCCGCTTTTTTTCTTTTTTTGGTACCGGGAATTGAACTCACAACCTCATGCTTGTGAGGCAGGTGCTTATGCTGCTGAGCTATATCCCCGGCCCTACATGCCCTTTTTGAGGGGAGAGATGAAGTAGAGGATTGGAATTGACCCACTGAGGATAAGATCAGTGCCTGAGAAATCTGGAAAATCTTCTGTTTGAGGCTCCAGGGAAAACTTCTCTTTGGAGAAAGAAAAGTAGTCTTAAGCTCTAGGTCACTTTCCCTCATGCCAGGACAGCTGCCACAAGGCCAGCTAATTCTTCACCTTGGTAACTGGGTTGAAATGGATGGTTTCAACATGATCCACATGCACTTTGCCCAAAGCACTGGCCAATCTGCACCATCTGTGTCTTAATGAAATTGGAGCCCTGGAGCCTGCCACTGTCTCCTGGTAGGACTTAGCTCCACCAGCTTGGAAATGACATGTTTGGAGACAAGAGTTTGGGAGATGAGAATGCTCAGTGTTAGTTGTTTTGTCTCCTTGTTCTGCACATGGGTAGGACAAGTGATATTGACCCATTAAAACAAGCCTTTTATCTGATTTCATTCATTTAGTCCACAAGCCGAGCTAGGGTCTCTTCTATAAATCCTCAGCTTAAGTTCACCAAAGCTGCAGAGCCAGTGTAACCATTTGGATCTATGTGGGGTCCCTCATTTGACTGCTTCTCTATAAAATTCACCCCACTTTGAGAATTCCTTTTCTTCCTTCCTTCTTTCCTTCCTTCCTTCTTTCTTTCCTTTTTTGCTTGTCTTTCTGAGACAAGGTCTCACTTTGCAGTCCAGGCTGGCCTTGAACTCACTTTATAGCCTACGCTGGCCTCAAACTTGCAGTGATTCTCCTACCTCAGCCTCTCCAGTGCTGAGAATTTCTAATTCAGGCTGGAAAACTTTATAATACATGTTTTTGGGTTTTATCTCCTAGTCTTATGTCTGGGGGCTTCTTTATCATAAAATTTGATGGTATTATTCTTGAGCCAGTATTTTTTTTTTTTTTTTTTTTTTTTTTTGGTTTTTCTCCGGTACCGGGAACCGAACTCACGACCTTGCGCTTGCCAGGCAGGCGCTTTGCCGCTGAGCTAAATCCCCAGCCCCCTTGAGCCAGTATTTGTCTTTCACTTTTATATCTTTCTCATGGCCTGATACAGGCTGGAATATAATACTGCCTTAAAAAGGTTGAATAAATAATATCACACTTTTTAGAGTCTGTATCTATAAAATTAGGATCCTAGCTTATGCCTATCTCTGAGTTTCTGTGAATATTAAGTTGGAAAATGTATGTGAATGTACCGTGTTAAGTGTAGCTCTGCAAACATTAGAAGTTACCAGAATCACAATTGCATCATATTTTGTGGACCAAAAGGCTCATTCTGTCACAAATGTAGCAAATTTAACCGGGCATGGTAGAACATGTCCATAATCCCAACAGCCCCTAGAGCAGTGATGGTAAACCTTTTAGAGACCAAGTGCCCAAACTACAAGCTGCAAGCCAAATCCATATTTATTGCAAAGTGCCAACACCACAATTAAACCTGAATACTGAGGGTTTAGTTTAGGAAAAAATAACTTATCCGATGCTTGGCTGCTGGGACAACTTGGCTTGTGTGACAACGGAGAGGGGTCTGTGTGTCCACTGCAGGACTCATGCCACAGGTTCACCACCACTGGTCTAGAGGCTGAGGCAGGAGGATTGCCACTTGGGCCTCAAACTCACGGTGATCCTCTTACATCAGCCTCTCTCACGCGGATTTCAGGTATGTGGCATCATGCCTGGTATAAACTTAACATCTTTAAAAATGTGATTTTCTTTCCCTAAAAACGTTTCTGTTTTCCCATTTCAGTAAAAGTTACCTTCATACATAGTCATTAAGCTGAAAATGGAAGGGCATTCCTGACACTCTCCTGACTTCTATAATCAAGACAGTCTCCCAAGTTCTGGTAACTCTTCCAAGTTGCATCTTGAATCAGCTCACTTATTCCATCTCCCCAGCCAGAGCTATATTCCACATTCCCATAATTTCTTTCCAAGGTGCCACAGTAGCCTTCAGACGTTTCCATCTCTTTTTGCTTCCTTTTCCTCCAATCTGCATAGCAGCGAGAGGATGACTTCTATGTAGACAGATGTAGAGGATGCACTCCCCTACTTAAAACCTTTTCATAGGGCTAGGGGTGTAAATTAGGGTTACCACACACAAAGCCCTGCGTTCAATCCCTAGCACCCAAAACGAAGCCTTTGCTGTCTTCCAGTACTGTCAGAATGAAGTTCAAACCTGCTTCCCAACCTCAGAGCCACTCTTTTACCCAGCCTTGGCCTTCTGAAGTGATCTCCCAGTGTCCGGACTGCCTTCCCCTCTACCTACTTGTCTGGCTAATGTGCAATTCTCCAATTGTTAGCTTAAATCTCACCTCCTCAGAGATACTTTCTCTGTCCTTTTGTAATTAGGTAACCTCTATTAATGTTTCCTGTTCTTGGATTTCTTTTGGGGGTGAGGGGAGACAAGGTCTCACTATGTAATCCAGGCTGGCTTTAAACTTGGGATCTATCATGGTTTGCCACCTTAGTGTTTGAGGTCTATTTTCTCCATTAGACCATAAACTCCATGAAAACAGAGACCATGACCTATGTTGTTTAAAAAAGAAGAGAAGTGATTCAGGTAGCACCATGCCTGGCACAGAAGATTATTCAATAAATAAGTTTTTGAGTAACCCATGTTGGAAGATCTGGAAAAGCTAATGCTGAAAGCTTGGAGTTGAATTGCTTATAAAGCTTTCTAGCGTAGGATGGGATAGAGGTGATTGCTGTGTGAGACCTTGAGTCCTTGTTCTCTCTGCAGCTTACAGGTTAGGCGAGTCATTCTCTCTCAATTTTTTCTTCTCAACTTGAAAGTGGTTCACGTGAAATGATGTGGTTTAGCTCACAAGTCTGTGGTTAGGGTCAAAGGTCCAGTGTCATCTGAAATGACTCTGCGTGTTTAAGGCTAACCCAGCACAGGCTGAGGAAGGGGTGGCATCGATGCCTCAGTGCACTCGGGCTGGGTGAGAAGGAGATGCTGAGCCTCAGCACAGCTCCACAGTCCACCCCGTGGGCCTCTCCCAGCACCCAGCGGTGGCTCGTGTGCTGGAACTTGTGACGGTGGTGGCATGGAGGGCTGCGGGTGTGCCTGGACTCTCGTGAGTGGGGGAAATAGGTATGGCTTTGTGTATGGCAGGGGTCAACCTCAGATTTTATCTTTTGAGACCAAGGTGCCGGGTCTTTCTTTTCCTTGGTTGTGTGCTATTGGTCTGTACTATGTCTTTCCCATTGCTTCTTTCTGTGCTCCCTTCTCTCACCTTAAAGGTTTTTCATTTTCAGTTTATTGATTTAGTTCTTCCCTGTGGTGGGATACATAATGGGAAGAGGGGGTTTGAAGTAGCTATCGCCTCAGGGCGACTGGAGGAAGCCATGGAGCTGGATACCTGGGTTCTTTTGTGTTGAGGAAACCGCGTTCTTTGGTATTTTTGATGGCTGGTGGGCTAGAGATGGAGTGTAGCAGCCCCCAGTTCCAGCCTGGAGAATTGCTGGGCCCAGCCCAAGGGGTAGAAAGTGTTGGGGCAGGGTTGGGAGTGAGGTGTGGTTTGGGGTTTTCACCCCCCTCTCTTTTTCTCTGAGGCTGAGTGAAAGAAAAAACAAAAGCTGACTGCCCACCCCTCTCTTTGTTTGTCTTGTCTAATTTAACTTACGTTATTTATCAAAAAGACAGGTTATTTGGAAAACCAGATGGACCCAGGCAAAAATCATCTGGGTTTTCCAAACGTGAAAAATTAGATTCTGGGAGCCCAGGAGGGAAAGCACGCGTGCCCTTGTGTGTGTGTGTGTGTGTGTGTGTGTGTGTGTGCACGCGCACGCGCACGTGTGCATGCATAGGGGGCCAGGAGTACTGAGTGAATGTATAGTCAGGCCCAGAAATTATCCCATAACTTCCAAGCATCCCTTTTCCTTCTTTTTCCTTCAAGTTCTTTGTGGTTAAAATCTAAATAAAACGAAAATCTTCATGTTGATGGTTGGGTATGCTGAAAGTTTTAATAGGCCAAAGATGAGAATGTGTCAGGGCCATAACAGAACGGCAGCTGACAGCTTTCTCTATTTCCCCAGCTCCTGTGCTGTTCTACAGACCAGGTAGGTCAGTGAGAAGTACAGGGTACTGAGAGGTGTCTATAGCAGAAACCTCACCCTCATGTACCTTCAGTGTTCCTGTTCTTACTTAAACAATTGCCCCAGATCTGGAAGTTAGACAGTTAGGAAAGAACTTACCCGCATAACTGTGTGATGACCAGATGGCTAAGGAAGACTAAGGATTAAGGACTGTCCATCCACTGACTATCTAGAGAAAGGGTGCCCACCAGTTTCCTTCTGGGTAACAGCGGCTTGCTGTGTTGCTATAACTAGGAGTTTGAAAGCCTGTGCTTCTGTTACCTTCAGCAGCA